TCTTAAAGTTAATGTTACTGCTACACCTGTTTCAATGTATAGTCTAATAAACATTAAATTTTGACTAAAAGACTTTTAAAAATAGCTGCTTGGTTCTAAATAAAAATGTTACCCATGGACATCCAGTAAGACTTGTTACAGTATATGGTTGGTCCTGTCTGAAAATGGTGCTAATCAAACTTTCAGATGTATAACCATGGTGACTGTTGTGTAAAATCATCTTGTTATTACTTCTCCAGAATTAGCAAATGTATTGCTATGGAGTTTTCACAAAAACATTCATCACTACATGCAGTTGATCTTAAATTGAAATGATGCCAGTGTGACCTCCATAAAAATGAAAAAATCTTATAAGACCATCGCACCTTTTATAACCCACACAAAGCATCACTTCTGATATCACATAGTACATATCTATTCCTGTTAACTGATGCTGATCTTACCTCCAAAATGGCCACCTTTGTGGACATCCTGTAAAGTTTTTTATTAAAAAATATTGATATATTTTTTGAACAGATGACAATATTGAGATGGGGTTTTCACTTAGACCTGTGCCTTCCAACATGTGGTCTGCATGCTGATTTAAATGGCCCACCAGAGCTGAGCAATTTTTTGTGCATTTATGTAAAAAAGTCAATGGCCTACTTTTATTTCATGCTGTGGCCCATGATTTCAAGAAAATTTTAAAATTCCTTTCATAACAGTGTAGAAAAATGTGATGTCTAGACCCCATAAACAAAAAAACCCCAGATTTTATATCAGCATGTGCTAAATGAGAACATGAATAGTTCTATTTTAGTCTGGAACACTGTGTATTCAGGAATTTATCTAGCTCTAGATCTGTCAATCTTGCCTAGGCAGATTTTGATGGTGGTGGTGGTTGTAGTGGGTAATTCTATCTGCCCCAAGTGTGTTTGTGGTATGGCCATTGCCTTTCACACTTCATCAATCAACACTTGCTAATTTTAGTAGCTATTCAGCAGAAGCAGTTTAAATCAAACTTGGTGCAGAGCATCCTGGCAGAAGGACTCCAAATGATGCCAATTTGTTATCAGATGGGGCCACCCATACTGAAAAGAGAGAATTCTTTAAACAAGAACTTCAACAAAACTACTGAACTGAATATGACCAAATCAGACAGAAAGAATCCTTGCAGTAAGCCTAATTAATTTGATAGGAATTTACCTTCAATTATGGCAGCTGATGCTAAAAATAAAAAAAATAATCTTAAATAATGTCCCCAAAGCTATTGAATAGAATGCAACCAAATTTAACAACATTTTGGCATAAAAAACTTTAAAAATAGGAAAAACCTTTCAAGTCACTTCTAAAAAATGCCCAACAAAAAAGTTGACCAAAGTTTATGGGAAGCATCCTGGCAAGGAATTTGTTCGATATACAACTGATAGTCACATGCCTTTTCTTAAAAATAGAAAAATCTGTTGTCAAAAACAGCCAAACATAATTTTTTTAAATTTGAAGGAAAGAACTCTCGTGTCATTAAATATGGCTGCCATTGCATTTAATTGAACAAAAATCTTGAAACTTCTCAACAACTGCTTTTTAACAATTTGACCAAAATTTGACTGGAATCATTCTGTTACTAAATATAGAAAATGTTGTCATGACATCATTAACTCCTGAAGAAATTTTGAGGAATGACAATGCACTTGGGCGAGAATTTCGCAAGTTTGTACAAATGGAACTGGTTCACCATCAAATCGGCCTGAAAATTTTACTTGAGATTGACTAATAGGACCCAAAAGATTGATCCAACAGCAAAATCTGGCATGCTAATATTTACTACCAGTTTATTGTATTACAATAGATAAAAGACAAGATAATAATGAAATTAATGCAAACAAAAAAAAATTTAGATGACTAATTTATTGCTTATTAAATCAGAAATATTTTACTAACCATAATATTTAAAATTTTCAAATCACATGTTCATGCCTTCTGTTGGTGGATTGTCTTTGAATCTTAGCACTCAGTTAACTAAAACTTCAAGTCAAAATGTTCTCAAAAGAAAAGATATCAAATATAAAAAGAAATCAAACACATTTGCCATTCAAAGCTCATTCAGTGAAACAGATGGAAAAACACCTGTAAAGTCAAGTCATTATGGACTCAGTAGTCCCAAAAATAACAATTCAGTTAGCCAGAGTCTGAGTTTCTTCTGACATTTTGCACTGTAAATTAAATATTTTTGACTTCTTTGTTGTCAAAATAACTGGAATGGGATGGGAAAAGTCAGAGAAAACTCATATTTCTTGACAGATTGCTCAAGGTTAGTTGAACTTTGTCTTTGTCCATAGAGAGTATGCATATTTTGCTTGGTCCTCAGAGTGTATGCATATTTTGCTTGGTCCTCAGTGTATACATATTTTGCTTGGCACTCAGAGTATATGCATAATTTGCTTGATCCTCACTCAGTGTATACATATTTTGCTTGGTCCTCAGAGTGTATGCATACTTTCCTTGGTCCTCAGTGTATGCATATTTTGCTAGGTCCTCCAAGTGTATGCATATTTTGCTTGGCCCTCAGAGTGTGTGCATATTTTGCTTGATCCTCACTCAGTGTATGCATATTTTGTTTGTTCCTCAGAGTGTATGTTATTTTTCTTGGTCCTCAGAGTGTATGCATATTTATATGTATACATGATGTATGCATATCAAATTTTCCTTGGCCCTCAGAGTGTGTTGTCAAGTGCAGCACTCTCAGAAAAAACAGCAGTCAGTGGAAAGGAATAACTCTTGCTGCCTGAGAGGGGTCATCTTCATTAACCAGGGTTCCCATATGTTCATTTTATCTGCAGATTGATCGGATATTTCACTGCTTTGTTCCTGTGACATCTATTGGATTTCATGGTTTGCCTCTCTTAGTATGTAATGCCAGCTTACCAATATCGTGTGTGTAACGCCTAACGCCTAACGGTGGTACTTAGAAGTGAACATTTACAGCAGGTATGATAATACAGTTTATATGTTTGAATTTGTAAATGGTTAATGTTTACCATTTGTGACTGAATGTCTGCATACTAGAATCACCTTGAATGCAAGGATGATATGACCCAGGGTAAGTGGCTTTAAGTCTTTGGAGGTATAGTTTGTTTGATAGCAGTTTGACAGTTTATTGGTTTAGGTGATGACATTTAGTAGCTAACAATAACATCGATTACTACTATCAATACTATTTCAGTATAAAAACATATTAAAAACTCTTCATTGATCCAAAGTTTTCATCAGTTTTTTTCAATACTACTTCAGTACAAAAACATATTAAAAACTCTTCATTGATCCGAAGTTTTCTTCATAGATTTTTTTTTTTTATCAAGGTACATTGGTATTTTAAGAAGTTGAATTTTCCTGCATGTTCAGCAGTTTTTATATTTAAAGAATTATCTCCCCTTTTGAGCCCAGAGGTGAGGATGGATTTTTAAATGATGTGTGAGTTGATATTAATGATTGTTGGCACTGTGTCATCAAGTGATATCTGCTTTGATAAGTATTTCTTCAGCCCCCAAAAGTCTCTTGCTCTATATTTTATTAGCCAGTCATCAAAAGTTATATACATGTGCACAGTTAATGTTAAATAATGTAGATTTTATGTACTTTTCAAGGACTAGACTTTACATACATTAGGTAAATGATTTGTGGTTACATAATGATGGACAGGTAGTTGTATGTATACTAAAACATGAGTCATTCTTGTTCCAAACATTTATCATTGATGTTTAACTTTGTGTTGGAAATAGATACATGATAAATGTTTGTAATCTGGTTTATGCCCTTCTAAGAGCCATGAGTGATCAGTAGATTGTATGTTTTCATAGCTGGATAGAAAAGTAAAGTGTTTTCTTAAGACTTTTTAACACCCATTCATTTACTTGATGTCCCAATTTGTTCACTGGAATTTGGACTAAAGGTAGATATAATTTTATGTAGAACATATGTTTTATTACTGTTATTATTTTGCCGAAAGGGATTTAACAAAAATTAATTTTAATAGTGACTTTACTGGGTGTAGATGATTTTGAATATTTATATACATGATTATCATATAGACAAATAGATTATAATTTGAATATAAAATAGATGATTGTAGGACAGACAGACAGACAGCCTATAAATTGTGTTTGTCTGTGATAATTACTTTTGCATGAATTGTGGTAGTACTAGTATTTGGAAACTTATCAATCATCAAGTACAACAGTATTTTTGACCCAGTATAAACTTTTGGTAGATTCAGGTCATCTTGATTTGACCTTGAGTGTAATATGTTGGTAGATGCATGTTAATGTTGACCTTATGTGTAATGTTTTGTAGATTCATGTTAATGTTGACATTGTGTGTAATGTTTTGTAGATTTATGTTAATGTTGACCTTGTGAGTAATGTTTTGTAGATTCATGTTAATGTTGACCTTGTGTGTAATGTTTTGTAGATTCTTGTTAATGTTGACCTTGTGTGTAATGTTTTGTAGATTCATGTTAATGTTGACCTTGTGTGTACTGTTTTGTAGATACATGTTAATGTTGACCTTGTGTGTAATGTTTTGTAGATTCATGTTAATGTTGACCTTGTGTGTAATATTTTGTAGATTCTTGTTAATGTTGACCTAGTGTGTAATGTTCTGTAGATTCATGTTAATGTTGACCTAGTGTGTAATGTTTTGTAGATTCATGTTAATGTTGACCTTGTGGGTAATGTTTTGCAGATTCAGGTTAATGTTGACCTAGTGTGTAATGTTTTGTAGATTCATGTTAATTTTAACCTTGTGTGTAATGTTTTGTAGATTCATGGTAATTTTGACCTTGTGTGTAATGTTTTGTAGATTCATGTTAATTTTGACCTGTTTATAAATTCAGGCCATGCTGATTTTGATTCTGCATGAAGCATATTCCATAGCATCCTCAAAGGTGTTGCAGCCAGTAGTGACTTAAATTTGCACGTTTTAAGCTAATATTTTTATTTTTAATTTCAATTATTTATTGATCTGCTCTGGTGGCCTAGTGGGTAGGATATCCACCTCAGATGCAGGAGGTCATGGGTTCAAACTCCAGCTAAGTCATACCAAAGACTTGTGAAAATGGTACTAAGAGTTGCCTTGCTAGGTGCTCAGTATTAAGAGGTTAGTGTTAGGACTGGTTGACCTGGTGTCAGGATAATGTGTTTGAGTGGAACATTATGCTATATATCTGTGGCTTGATGCCCCAGTACTAGATATTACTATAATCTGCTACACTGCAGAAATCATTGTGATGTGACTGACAAATTGTTAAAGCTATGTCAAATATCCAAATCAGGCACAAACACAAATAATTATTTATTTGTATATTTTTGGCAGGACATTTTTTCATGGGACTGATTTTTATTATTATACCAACTGCACTCTAGTTGCCTAAGTGGTTAGAGCATCTGTGTGAGATGTGGGGGTCATGGGTTTAAAGCCCCAGCTGAGTCATACCAAAACTTCTAAATTGGTACTGGCAGGTGTCTTGCTTGGTGCATACCATTAAGAGATTAATGTTAGGACTGGTTGGCCTGGTGTCAGGATAATGTGACTGGGTGTGACATCATGCTACATGTCTGTGGCATGATGCTAAAGTGCTTGACATCGATATAAACTGCCATACTGCAGACATCTTAACAATATAACTAAAAATTTGTTAAACCTCAGTTAAAAATCCAAATCACACACACATACACACAAACACACATTATATACCTTGTAGTATAATATATACTTGTAATTTGTGACATATTTAACAGCAGGCCTGCTTGATGATGTTGGCAGAGCCCTGTAATAATTATGTTGTCTGTCTACCAATCAATCCACAGGTTCATCTGTTTTCATCAGTAATTTCATTTCTGCAAGACTTAATGAGAATTGTTGAAGTTTTTCCACATTGCAGTTTTATATTTACTACATGATATTCATGAAAACAGGTCTTATTTGTCATCATTTAGAAGAGCTATGGCACCTTATCGCCTGTCCTCCAAACTTGGCCTGTCCTCCAAACTTGCGTTTTCACAAACCTGGTTTTTTTCTTCATAACTCACATAAAATGTCCTTTTCTTTATTCAGTATTGTGGTGGCCAGGATTCTACACAGAAGTCTCTGTTTTTATGTATTTCAACCAAATTTTGCATGCAGCTCTATCTACAGCATTCCCAAAAAAAACCCCCATTCACATATGGGCACATAAGCACTGTGAAGACCCATTGTCTAGACCCAAATTTGTCAGTATATTAAGTAATGACATTTCAGTATAATCCAAGATCTGTCAGCACATTAAGTAATGGTATGCCAATGTTGTTGTTGTAGGGCTTAACTCACCCATAGAAGCTACAGGCATGTCAGTGTAATCCCAGATTTGTCAGCACACTAAGTATTGGCATGTCAGTGTAATTCCAGATTTGTCAGCACACTAAGTATTGGCATGTCAGTGTAATTCCAGATTTGTTGGCATATTAAGTATTTGCTGTCCTTGAAATCCCAGATCCATTAGCATATTAAGCCAGTTCTGCATTGGTATAAACTGTATAATGGCACATTAGATAATAACATATTATGTGTACACCTGGATCTGATGGCATATTTAGCAGTGATATATCTTTGAGTCTATACTAATCATTCTGGTTTATTTAGCAATGACATATTTGGGGGTCTATACTAATCATTCTGGAGTACATGTTAACCACAAGGAGTGTTTGAGATTTTCAGCATTTGATCATATGGTGGAAAATAATTGAGCATAAAACTGTGTAAGAATAATACTGTATTTGATTTAGGGATATCATACATGTCATTATACCAGCCCTAATCCACCCACTCATTTATTGTATATTCAAGTATTAAGTTCAGAGTCAGTCTTAGTTGTTTGAGCCTGATTACCCTATAGATATGTTTGGATGAGATCAAGCAAAAATTTATAGGCCTAGAATTAAGACTGCACCATTATAACCATTGGCATTGGTGTTCAATGGTACATAAGGACATGAAAGAGTTCTTATTTCATATGGTAAATTCTGGAGTTTTGATTGGCTAACTACCAGGATATGTTTGATTCTGGAGTTTTGATTGGCTAACTTCCAGGATATGTTTGATTCTGGCATACTATAGTGCATACCTTCCAGCAGATATGATTGCCATATGACATTATTTTACATTATATAACATACTAATTTTATTATTTTCACCTTTTTGGAAACTGTTCAACAAAGATCTTTGGCTGATAGATAGAGAGTACCATCAGTTATAGGTTGGGCTCTCTACTCATTGGACAACACATTAGGAGAATAATCTCTGATAACACTGTGCAAATGGTCTCAAGGGAAAAGGTAGTAACAAGGGAATATTAGTGCTGAGGAAATGGGACAAAAGTAACATCAGTAAAAGAGACACTCTGATAGCATGTGAACCAGCTTGTGTGGGCAGGATTTAAACATGCAGTCCTCATATTGTGGTTCATGCACACAGCACAGATGAACAGTTTCATTTGCAAAATGAACAAGCAAGGACAGTCAATAATCTGTATACACAAAAACTTTGAAAACTTTGTCCATTTTTCATTTGTTTTCAAGGTCATGGAGACTATACAATAGATAATCAGGTTATTCAGAAGTCAAAGTAATCCAGAGTTTTCGGCAGTTTTCAGAGTCTTAGGTGGGAGCTAGGTGGCTTTATGCTATGAATCAACAAATCATTCAGAAGTTAAAGTATGGCAAAGTTTTCGGTTATTTTCAAAGGCTTCAGTAAAAGAAGGCTTTATGGAATGGATTAAAAAATCATTCATAAGTTAAAAGTACTGCAGAGTTTTCAGCTGTTAGTTTTCAAGGTCTGAAGTAGAAGATAGCTGAAAGCTATGGATTAACAAGTCATTCATAAGTTGAAGTACTGCAGAGTTTTCAGCTGTTAGTTTTCAAGATCTGAAGTAGAAGAAAGCTGAAAGCTATGGATTAACAAGTCATTCATAAGTTGAAGTACTGCAGAGTTTTCAGCTGTTTTCAAGGTCTGAAGTAAAAGAAAGCTGAAAGCTATGGATTAACCAGTCATTCATAAGTTAAAGTACTGCTGAGTTTTTAGTGTCCAAGGCAGATCAAGACTCTATGCTATGGATTAACAAGTTATTGACAAGTTAAAGTGCTGCAGAATTTTCACTTTTTGAGGTCTGTCACTAGAGAGCTAAATCTTATGTTCAAACTTGAGTATTTTCAGTTTTAAAACTTTTAAAACTTAAATATTGAATGCAGTCAAACTTTGACAACTTAAATATCAAATATACATAGCCTTTGCATGCAAGAGACCTTGAAAACTAACACCTGAATACTTGCACACTAATTATATTGATGCTGGAGCACTTGCACACTAATGATATTGATGCAGGAATACTTTTACACTAATGATATTGATAAAGGAGTACTTTTACACTAATGATTTTGATGCAGGAGTATTTGCACACTAATGATATTGATGCAGGAGTACTTGCATACAAATGAAATTGATGCAGGAGTACTTGCATACAAATGATATAGATGCAGGAGTACTTGCACACTAAATATATTGATGTTGGAGTACTTGCACACTAATGATTTTGATGCAGGAGTACTTGCACACTAATGATATTGATGTAGGAATACTTGCACACTAATTATATTGATGCAGGAGTACTTTTACACTAATGATATAGATGCAGGAGTACTTGCACACTAATGATATTGATACAGGAGTACTTGCACACTAATGATATTGATGCAGGAGTCTTTGCACACTAATGATATTGATGCAGGAGTACTTGCATACAAATGATATTGATGCAGGAGTACTTGCATACAAATGATATTGATGCAGGAGTACTTGCACACTAATGATATTGATGTAGGAGTACTTGCACACTAATGATATAGATGCAGGAGTACTTGCATACTAATGATTTTGATGCAGGAATACTTGCACACTAATGATATTGATGTACGAATACTTGCACACTAATTATATTGATGCAGGAGTACTTTTACACTAATGATATTGATACAGGAGTACTTGCACTCTAATGATATTGATATATTGATGCAGGAGTACTTACAGACAAATGATATTGAGGGGGCCCCGAGTGGTCTAAAGCGCTGTCCGTTATGTGCCATCTCACCTCTGTCTGCATGGGTTTGAGTCTAGGATTCGGCGAATGTGGATATGTGAGAAAGCTTGCCAGTAGCTTCTCGTGGGTCGGTGGTTCTTTCTGGTGATTTCCCGGTTCCTTCCTCCACCAATAATACTGGCCGCCATGAATAGCCTATTGTGTGCTGAAAAATGGCATTAAGCCCAACAACAACAAATGATATTGATGTTGGAGTACTTGTACACTAATGATATTGATGCAGGAGTCTTTGCACACTAATGATATTGATGCAGGAGTACTTGCACACTAATCATATTGATGCAGGAGTACTTGCATACAAATGATATTGATGCAGGAGTACTTGCATACAAATGATATTGATGCAGAAATACTTGCACACTAATATTGATGCAGGAGTACATGTACACTAATGATTTTGATGCATGTGTACTTGCACACTAATGATATTGATGCAGGAGTACTTGCACACTAATGATATTGATGCAGGAGTACTTGCATACAAATGATATTGATGCAGGAGTACTTGCACACTAATGATATAGATGCAGGAGTACTTGCATACAAATAATTTTGATGCAGGCATTCTTGCATACAAATGATTTTGTGAAAGATGCACAGCATCACATGGATGGACATTGGGAGACAGGGAGCGAAAGTGACTATCCATTTTCTTAGCAACTATGAATTTTTTTTGGGGGGGGGAACAGATGCAGGTAGAGCCTTCTTTCTGACCCTGATTCACAGGGTGCTTAATATACAGCAAAAATAGCTATAGGCAGTATTGTGAAAAACATTAAAATATATGTAGGTAAATACATTAATAGGATTACACTAATTCATAGAGAAGTCACTAAATGCCATAGCATCTTCACTAATCATAAATAATTATTTTGATAGTTACATGTACATGTATTGTCTTATCAGTCTG